CAATAGTACAGATCAATATGGGAAATACAGATATAATTGATATCCATAATTACCAGTGCTTTTTTGTAAGAAAAAATGTGCCGGAACTCATGAAATTATTTATCTTTCACACGTAGTCAATCACTGTAGACACACCCACACACGTCAGTTGTGTAATGAAACATGATGGTCGCCGCCCACAGTAAGCACTCAGTGTGCGACCACACAACCAACCACAATCCGAGCAGCGCCAGAAGCCAAGCAGCACCATCATAACCAGTGTGAAGTACGCATGCATTGGATTCGACACACAAGCAGCCTGCATGCACCGTTTTAATGATTTTGCCGCCAACCTGCTATGCTCTACAGGGATTCAAATCCACGTGGACCAAACATCAAATTTTCAAAAGTTATTTTTAAAACTTGGAAAATCTGTCGAAAAAAGGTGCCAGAACTCTGTTCTGGTGCGTTCTATAACAAAGAAAGCACTGATAATTACTAAAACCGTAAAGTATAATAGAGTAAAATACAATATAAATGCAACAGGAGGAAAAACAGTAAACAATCCAACAATAAACCAGCACCATGATCACTAATCATAATACAAGAACAATTACTAAAGAAAAAAGGCAAAATCAGGGTCAGGTGGGTGCTGGTTGCCCCTCCCTTGCAAGGGAATTCCAGGGAGCTTGGAGGCAGGGCCTGAGGGAACACTGAGGTGGAAACAAGGAGAACCATCCAGCTTAACTCTTATTTGGCCTCTAATGTGGAAGAGACCTGGGGTCAGTCTGTTCCCTCAAAGTTAATACAAGACACATCAAGCCATTTGTTTCCATATCGGACCCTTGTTATTAAGCAGGGTTACACCAACCCATTAAACAAGATGTATTTGCTGGGAACAATAGATGGCAAAAGAAGAAAGGGACAGCAGAGGAGGAGGTGGCTGGATGGAGTCACTGAGGCAGTTGGTGTGAGCTTAGGAGGACTCTGGGAGATGGTGGAGGACAGGAAGGCCTGGAGGAGTGTTGTCCATGGGGTCGCGATGGGTCAGACATGACTTCCCAACTAACAAGAACAACAACATTTGATATAGAGTACAGAGAGCTCAGGAAACATTTGAGAAAACAGCACCTCTGGATCCTGTCTCCTCTGTTTTTATTTCCTATAATGTGTATAATCCTTCCCTCCCAGCAAATAATTATTAACAATGCAGTTGGTACCGGTGAGACAGCAATGTCAAATAGTAGAAAACTATATGATAGCATCTCGATAATGCAGGGGATGCCGTATGAGGCGAGACGGAGGGAACTGGGTCTCTTCAGCCTAGAGAAGAGGGGACTCGGAGGG